TTGCTTTGCGGCCCACTATTCGCTCGAGTAGATGCTGGGCATGCCCGGGTGGGGGCGTTGATCGATGTCCTTGGGCGCTGTCGCTTGGTAGGCGGGATGCTCGGGCTGTTGGCGCAGCGGCTTGGCAAAGGCACGGCACTTCCACACGTCCACCTCGGTGGCCAGGCATTTGCGAAAATCGAAATCGCAGAGGCCCAGCGTATAGAGATGCTCGCACGGCTCGAAGTAGTGCAGGCCGCGTCCGATCTTGATGACAACGCCGGAGCTGAGCACGATCTTGCGGTCGTGCAGCGTCTCATCCAGCTGGAAGTTCATGTGAATGTTGCCCGTGGCCAGATCGGCGCGAATCTGCTGCAGGATGTGCAGCTGGTTCTTTGGCAACGCCAGATCCGGCCGCGTCGTCAGTCGTATGTACTTCAAGTAGCGACAGCTCTTGACCAGCACTTCCAGGAAGTTCACCAGATTCTTGAAATGATGCTGCTCGCAGAGCTGCGGCTCATTCAGATGCGCCTCCTTCACGCTGTCGTTGAAGTAAGCGCCAAGCAGACGCTGATAGCCTCGTCCCCTCGCATCCCGTTCGATGGTGATGTGCTCCAGCATCTTGCTGGAGTGCAGATGAGCCTTGACCTGATCGCGCAGCTGATTGGCCCGCGCCTCGTACATCTTCAGGTGCTTGAGATAGAGCTGCTGTTTCTTTGGATCCGAATTGGCCAGCTGATTGAGCTTGAAGATGCTCTCCTCATACAGCAGTATCGCCTCCATAATGTGGCCCGTCTGCTCGCACTTGACCGCATTGCTGATGGACTCCGGCTTGGGCAGCTCATCCTCCTCGGAATAGTGCGCTTGTGACATACTCTCAGCTTGACTTAATTTTATTGATTTTATTTATTTTATTTTTATTTGTTTTCTTAAATTTTGTTTACCAATCGGTGTGGAGAGGCGTACGATGTTCAGATGCTGACTGAAAAGTCGGGGAGTGCTACGATCCAAGTTTTCATAAATCTACAAATATTTATTTGCATTGCCAATTCTCGACTGAGCCAAGTCAACTTATTTGGCAATTACTGCTGCCTCTAGACGGTGTTTAGTCAGAGACTAACTGAAATTAGTTGTCATTGAAATTATCGTTTGTAGTTTGTCAAAATTTTCGAGAGCCAAGCAACAACTTTATGATAGATATTTTATATTTAGTATTTAAGCCATGGTCTATCAGAACTTTGACGTGAGTTGAGTGGCGCCTTTAAGCCAAGTTAACTAACCTCCTGTCTCTCTCTCTGTTTACAGCTTACAACGGGCAGCGGCAGCAAACGTTCGCAGCTGATGCAACAGCAACTGCAGCAGCAGCCAAACAGTTTGGATGCCTCCATGCTGGCCCAGCGCGATGGCACGCCCATGGGCGAACTGTCACCGCACGAGGAGATCCTCTATCTGCGCCGGCAGCTGGCCAAACTGAATCGACGCGTTCTGAACATTGAGATCAACAACGAGCAGCGGATGCAGCGCGAGAAGATTGTCTACTGTCTGGGCCTGGCCTACTTTGTGCTGAAGACCATCTTCTGGCTGAACCGCAACTAGAGGGCTCAGGATGCCACAGCCTGATGGTGCTTATCTCCGTTTGTTTGTTTGTCTTTTGTCCACTTGCTGCACACACACACACACATACACACACGCATGCACGCAACGGCCAGTCGGGGGGAAAAACTTGAGCAGATTTTTCTTTCCTTTATTTTTTTTTTTGTTTGCCGCCGGCTCTGGGAGAGATGTTGTTTTTCATTTTCTTTTTTTTTTTTTTGCCATATTTGTTATAAGTTCTGTCTTCAATTAAATAAGCACAACTAAGATATGTTTGTCCGTCGTGGATACCCAAAAAAAAAAAGAAAAAGAAAATCAACTTTTAATATGTGTTAATCTATTGAAATGTATTAACTCTTCTTCTATAAGCAGTTCATAGTATTTACATATATGTCTGAAGCAAACCAACCGAAGTAACTCCAATCAAGCTCTACGATCTGAAATGATTTTTTATATATATATATATATATACATATGTGTGTGTGTGCATCCCATCCGAACCAATCCAAAGCACGGAACTGAAAATTGTTTATATATATATATATACATAGATCTGTGTATTATATATATATATATACATATATGTTGTGTATACCTAATGACTTAATCTTATAGCGCATAATTTTAACTATCGCACCTCAAAGTTGATCTGGATTCTTATTGTGCTTTTGTTAAATGTTAGTTTATAGGCTTAACATTGTTAAACATAAT